ATGCTTTCCAATACGACGAGACTGTATTCTCTATAAGTTTCGCCATTTAAAATCATATTCTGGACAAGACTTTTATCAATTAAATGGTCGGCTTCCATTGCTGCTCCAAATCATTCAGAAAATGGGAGCGCAAAAACCGCGCAAATTCATTTTACCGTCACTTTACAGCGGTTTTCACACAGATACCAGTTAATTCCGTTACCCAATGGCTGAAGCAATTTTTCATCGACCAGACACGCTTAAAAACAGATGACGAGATTTGACAGGATCGGCCAATGCGTATGCGTATAAAACAGCTGGTACTAATATCCTAATATTCTAATTTCCTAATAACTTATTTTGCACTCGTACAATGCAAAATACATATTTGATTTGGTTGGTTGGCCATCAAGTACCATCCTATGGCACCCAACTCATATATCACCAATACCATAGTACAGAGTTATGTTAACAGCGAGTCAACAATAAGACTAATATACTAAATTTGAATTTAATTAATTGTAAGGATGAGATTACATTGTGAAATGGCCACGATGTACCACGGATCCGAATCCCCGGCCGATGCATTAGTTACTGAGAGAATGTTCGAAAACACTCAATGATTTAGTGAAATCGAGTGTTGGGATTGAGTGTCCCGTACATATTTCCGTATGATTCCCGGTGTTTACAGTATCACAAATTATAATACCCCGACTTGTTTTATCACCCTCAGCGTCTACTGCGTTCATTGCATTGGTCGCAGCTGAGACCAGGATACGCCCCACACCGTACCGACAGTTTGCAAAAGATCAACTTAACTATATACTGGGAGACACGGGACGTAGTTACGTGTGTGGATTCGGAAAGAATCCCCCAGTTCAACCTCATCATCGAAGTAGGTGGGTGTAATTCTAGTCATGCATTCGCATTCAAACAAACAGACCGATATGACTGAAATATATATGCCAAGAATCGATATTATTTTGCTTAATTTGTATCGTTGTATTGTATTCAAATTACCAAAGCTCCACTCAATTTAAAGTTGCACGTGCAAACTTTGTAGTATGTGCAATCATTATTGTTATCACTATGACAATTGATAAGATTCGGTTGCTTTGGCAACACATTCTGAAATATTCGAATACTGACGCTGACCAGTACTGAAAGTCATTGTGTATAATCACCAAATCAAACATGATTCATCCAAGAAAGAGATTATAAAATCGATTTGAAAATTTTGTTGGATAACATTTTTATATTATACAGAATGAAAATCCAATATGGCACAGGGGTCAGTGAGATGTTTTCTTTATATACTAATCAAAACAATTTAAGGAACACCTGAGTTTTTACATCAAATACGTTTGGACCATGTTAGACGATGTCATGTAACACCAATATTGCCACAATGGTAGTTTTTAATCTACCACACTTGTCTAAATCTTTTCTTAACCCAGAAGACGAGAATAGGTGCGCCCTCAATTTCACAGTTACGTATTATTTCAGGGGGAAATCAGGTGAAAAGATGGAACATTGCTCATCACACACCTGCTCTAATTCTAATGCTTCGAAGAATGTTGATTTTTTCTCTGTACATAATGCATCCTTGTGATCACGTCTGCCAATTATGGTAATCAGAATACAATCACTAATGGCGTTGTCACAGCTTTTGCAAGCATGCCTCCACGTCGAGCTGCAACTCATACCAACGGGAGTGACCAGTGTGCGGAACCGTCCGAGGGCCAGAAACGTCAGGCCTAAGAGCCAGGCTGTTAGGACAGTCCTCCTCCCACGCCACATAACTGCTCGTTTAGACTGGGCTCGACAGCACATTCGTTGAACACGTCGGCAGTGGATTTCTGTCGTCTTCACAGATGAGTCAAGATTCGCTTTGCAGAACAATGATGGGCGTATTCTTGTCTATAGACGCCCTGCTGAACGCTACATTGATACCACCATCAGACCGCAAAACCAGCTTGGTGGTGGCAGCGTCATGGTATAGGGTGGCTTCAGCTACCACCAAATAACCCCTGTTTATATTATTGATGGATTACGTTACAGAGGCGAGATCCTGCAACATATTATGTTACCTTGTCTACAGAGGATAGGAGCTACGACAGTCCTACAGGATGATAATGCCAGACCACACCGTGCACGTGTTGTCACAGATTTTCTACGCCAACACAATATGAACAGAATGAATTGGCCTGCTTATTCACCTGACATCGCACCAAATGAACATTTGTGGGATCAACTTGGTCTTCGTGGGCAACCATCCCCCACCAGTGGATCGTCGCGTCGTAAGATACTTCAATGGCTAATCCAGGAGTTGCAAGCGATACGACAACGTTCACTGTAGAGATTAGTGACATCCATGAGGCGACGTTGTGTTGCATGTGTTACTGCAAGAGATGGTCACACACATTATTGAAATGTTCCATGAACTGGGATTTTCATTTTCAACCCTTCTCTCTTGCAGAACTCATGTAACGAAATGTGTAATGATTACATGCAGTCCTTATCATCTGTTTCATTGTGCAGTTGTTTCACGTTAATTATGTGACCAAATAGGTTTATCTGAAATAAAGGAGCTTGCTGTAACTGAGAATATTCAAGTGTTCCTTAAATTGTTTTGAGTAGCATATAAATCATACAGGTGGCTAAGCAACTTTAAGCAACTTTTGAAATTTTAAATAAGATAAATATTTGCATATTTTAAGCTAATTATACTAACGGGATTGTATTCACAGTTCTTGTCCCGATTTGCCTGAAACGTGTGCCTGGGGTGCGTTTCGCAGTCCTGATCCAAATCCGCAGATATTGTATGGTGCTTTGGTAGGGGGGCCTGACGGAAACGACGATTACGAAGACACCAGGGAGGATTACTACAAAAACGAGGTCACGTTGGATTACAACGCCGGCATGCAGTCTGCCGTTGCAGGTAGTCAAACTTGTTATGCCATATTGTTGGGTATTCCGCTATCCAAGAACAATTATTCGATAAAACGTTATAAGCAGTCAGGTAAACGCGTGCCAAAGTACTTTTATCATGTCGTATATACATATTTAAATCGAACAATCTCCCGGTACGCATTGTGCATGCGTGATATGTGTCAGTTCGGTTTTGGGTGGACGCCGACCTGCAGCGTATAGACGATACGACCCACCACCGATCGCTTGTTAGACTTATATGTGGTTTTGAATATATAGCAATCCTAATAGATTTTAACTTTTACTTTTTTATCTTATTCTCTGTTATTTAAAGGTTTGCTGCATCTGCTGTGACTGACCAAATGCCATGATGAAACCGCCTAATATCAATGGAAATGCCATTTACAGCAGATACCATGTAATATTGCAATTAAAACTGACAATGTTTGTTTGTAGGTGCTTTGTCAGACTTGCCAAATTGTGTTTTATCATAATACTCAACTTTTATTTCGCACAAATAGCCCTAGATACAGCTACCAGTATTAAATAATTTGAACCGACAGCACCTTCTGCCCTTTAAATTCCGTCCTAAGAGCTGACCAATATAACAACGTTTAAACTAATCTTTAAGCAATAAACTGGACTATTGACACTTCACGTCAGAATTACATTACATTGTGTTGTTTTTCCCTCTTATTTCCCCATAGATATTATTTAAAAATATAGTATTACCAGGATATTTGTAGTGTATATAATATGGCGTTTGCGTGAAGGATACTTCCCAAGTTTAATTTCTGTCTTAGAGTAGACGTTCCATTTATCTACAATGCCCAATGATACATAATGTATATTTCAGATGTACGTTCCTTTTCATATTCGTGAACGATAACTATTTACCATGTACTAAATACTCGACCGACACATACTGCAGAAACGTAATGCAGTAACGAATCCTAGCCAGTTCATACTCGTATACCACAAGGCTTTTACAATTCCTTTATTTTTATAAAATCCGGTTGCGGCACCGCGTGGAATTAATTAAACTTTTTATATAGATGTACAAATTACATGTACTTTGTAAACTTGCAATAACATGTACTTGATTTAAAAAACAAACACTTGCATGGAAAGGTTAGTTTGTTCGCTTTTTACTAGTATCATTTAAATGGCTAGGGTTCACACACGTTTAATAATGTATTGCATAATTCATCTTTTATTATAGAGTAATTATAATATATTTGTATTCTGTACTATGGCATCTGACCTATGGTACAATAATTAGTTTGCTCGCACGTAAAGGGCGAATATTTGACACAACAATTACATCTGTTTAATTAGTAATTTAGTGCAGATCAAATATCGAGGGTTTAGACGGACGGATCAAGTTGTTCATCATGGAACGATACAGGCAAAAATAAGACATGGATTATAATTCTTGTCTTGGGCCGTTCGGGGAGTAATGTAAAGTGCCTACTATGAGTCTGGTTTTGGTATCTGTCTTCTCTGTACCATTCATGTCGAGTAAGAAAAACTGACGATATTCGTACGATGAATCATGTGACCATGGTGCGGAGTAACACGTGACTAAAATTGAAGGACCTGATCGAATGTTATTTTGACATTCCCGTAGCCATGCCCATTAAAATGCGTAGAAGTAAAATAGTGAATTGACACATATAGTTTATAATGTATGGCCGTGTTATTGGTAATGACTAAGAATATAATGTCCTACACATTACAACACAGCACGGGGCGTTATAAGTATATCGGTTTTGTTGTGGGCGACCGCGCTGCGACTATGACATTGAGAAATACAATCGTATGTTAAGCGAATATACTGGTCCCGGGTTTATATAGGTCCCCTTGTGTGAACAAACATCGATATTGTAGAGCCTTTCCATCTGTGTTTTGGTACTGTAAATTAATTTCAATATTTGTTTACACTTTGACATCATTTCATCATTTTTGTTTGTATATTTTAAAGTACATGTGAAATGCCGACCCACACATTTCCTGTTTTAGATTTGTGCTCCACAGAAATAGATTTTTTGTTGTTGAAAATGATTACTCGTATCCGAGTAGCCTGACAAGGACGCGTGAGTTGCGCCCTCCGCGGTGCTCCAAACCCACCACACGTCTGACACGATGTAGTTGTTCACTTCCCCGATGATTTTTTTGTCAATACAAATCATTTGCTGGAATGTCAGGCAGTGCATGTGACAGCAATCAAAGAGTAACCATTAACGGCAATCTCCCAGGCAGAGTTCTATTTCTTCGAATATACTTTTGGTGATCTAACTGCAATGAACACTGGGAAAGAGAGTGCATTCACGACAGAGTTCATTTGTTAGTTGCGCCCTCCGCGCGGTGTTACTTTACCATGACCACCGAAACGAAAATTCATTTAACTCATTGCGTGAACTTTGCGATGATGAGACACACACTATTCTTTCAGGCGTTAGTGGGTCTGATGCCGTTCGGCCGGCGAGAACACCACTTACCCCTACATGTCAGGCTAGTATCTGGGTAAATTTGAGGTATTTCTCGTGTTGTAGCCACGTTCACCTATCCTGAAACAGTCGACTCAGGCTGTTTCCGACTGTAGTCGAAGTAAAGGGGCGCCACCAAATGCCAAAATATGAGGAAGCCATACTCTTGCAATATACAATATATTTTTCGATCGGCACTTTTTATGAAACGTTATATTTTTGACGGATGCAGCAATGGGTATAGTAATAGTGTGATAATTTACGCGTTTCCAAACGATCCGAAGGTGTGGCACTGTCTGTGGACGAAGACGTAAAATCAATGAGAAAAAGTTGGGATGGACAACCGTCACCATTTATAAAAAACAACATAGATTTAAAGACAATTGGCGAACAATTAAACCTAGCACAGTGCTAACAACTTTTTAAAGAACCAGATCCCGGAGCAGCCCAAGTTCACCGCGAGAGAGAAGCCATCATGCAGTAATTGTTTGTGTTAGAGATAGCAACTTGAATGACGTGACGCAAAAACTGAAGCGTCGGTCAAGTAGGAAATTAGGTGGCGCAGCACACACGCGTTGGTAATGACTTTTAATTCAATTTTTGCTGTGCTCCGCTCTCTATTATGTTTGTTATCCAATCAGCAAACGCCGCCATTCACGCACGTCGATCGTCAATCCAATTCCACGGGATGTCAATTCCCTCGTACACGGCTATCCTTTAGTAACTGATCTACGAATCATCGACTCATTATATCATTTTTTATTACTTCTCTATTTTATTGAACGCTAGATTAGTTAAATGCTTTTTATTTTAATTTTGAATAGAACACATCAGTGTATGAACATACTCAGTAACCTGATAAATAACTAGAAGGCAAGCCTGACGTCAAAGTCGATTTTGACAAACTCGAAAACATCAACATACACATAGAGATCGTTCCATGGCAATAGATGTCGGCACTTCACACTGACTTCAACCGACTTTTTCGACCACCGTACACGTGACTGCGATTATTATAATACACCGTTGATCGCGGCGACCAAATACGCCAAAAGCGACATATTCCATATCTAACTCAACCCTATACGATAAACTTTATAATATGTGCTTTTCGTGGTCTACTCTTTCCCGAGACGAGAAAATCGAACAAGAAACGTGTCTTACATACACATGTATCAGCAATGCAAGCAGCCCAGTAAGTTCCCCTACATACGTCATCAGGGGCATTTCTGTATGCAAATCATGAGGAGCGTATTTTAAAATACTAGTACACAAAATGATGATGAAGTTTAAAACCCATTTTTTTCACTTAAACAATTTTATGCTTAGAAACATACAAATTAATAATATTGATGTACAAATAAATTATTTTAGGTGAGAAAGTAACAGGCATTTCACAGGCAACCAGCAGTTATATAATTCTGCAACGTTCTCCAATTGTCGTCAATCTGGATTCACGAAACTGCAACAGATATAGTGGTCTGTGTTGTAATAGGTGCAAAATCAGATTGTTAAAAAACAACGGTTCTTCACATATTTCTTGATAAGTATGTGGTTCACTTTTCCTTAATGATGTACATAAGTACCAGGTTTTCAACATATCGCTATAGAAATCTGAGACACAGGTGACAGATTTGGGTGGAGTGAAAACAAATAGTTGTTTACCGTAGTTTAAACCGTTCACCTGTATTATACAATAGTCCGTGAATATAAAACTAGGATGTTTTAAACCTGAATAGAAATATCGTACGTTGTACATAAGATTGTAGGCGGAAGGAATCTAGAGATGTGAATTAAGCCCTGTCCGGCCACCCTCATGGTTTAACATATAAAGTATTTCTGCTGGGATCCAGTGCCGTTCCTGCCAAAAGAACTCGAAAAAAGAGTCTGCAAATAGTAACAATATATTTCGGCGGGGACAGACACATGAACCGGTGTAATAACTTTGATGCGAACTGAAGAACTGATTTATTGCGCCCTCTATAGAATTATAAAAAGTAACAATGAAATAATTACAGCTATTTATAGCCCAAGTGTAATGGGTACTTGATTGAGCCATGTTTTTAAATATATTTATTATGTACACGGCATTTTCTTGGTATTTATTCTTATTTTTCTGTAATTTTGGTTACTTTAAAGTTGTATTGTCTCTTATTTTAATTTGAAGGCCTTTGAAAATGTGTCAATTTGCTACATCAACCAATTAAAACAAGCGCGGCGTTCGCGAGAAATCGCATTTTCTTTCTTGCGAAAAATGATGCTCAGAGCCTAAGTCATTTTTAGTCTCGAGACTATAAATCCCATGATGCAATGCTGCTTAGTGTACTGCTTCGGGTGAGTGCGCAGTCACGCGAACCTAGGGAGTACTACATTTTGCTGTCGGCCATTGTATTGTGCACGTCTTGCGGGAAAATCTCATCTGGTTCAAAATTCACGTGCAACTGCAATTATGAAGAGAGGCAGGCCACCATTTAATAAAACTGATTCGGCGAAGAAAAGACGTCGGAGTGAAATCCAAAAAAACAACCGGCAAAGTCGAGTGCAAATTGGAAATCAATTTGATCGATGGGAGTCGTTACGGCTTCAGCTTGCAAGCCAGGGAAGTGGATGTCATGTCGTCGATCACCGCGACGTTGCTAAGTATCTACTTGATCGGAACGAAAGGTAAGTTTTTATTGTACTTTTAATGTTTTATTTTTGGTTTACAATATGAAGAACGCTTCCGAGGAAAGCTCAGCTGATGTTTTGCAGAGTACAGCGTGATTCTAGCCGACGTCAGT